ATATATATATATATATGCCCAAAAGTGCTCACATATCTTCGCGAGAAAAACGTGGACGTGGACATAGTACCGCAGATTTTAACACTACAACGTTTCCCAAGACAATCAAGGCACAACCAGACACATAGTAGAAACAACACTCACAACAGCTTACAACTTCTCTTACAACACTCACAACAGCTTACAACTTCTCTTACAACACGACACGCGCGCGACGACGTAAAAAACGCGCCTACCTGCTTGACTCAGCACGTGTCTAACGCCGGACGTTGCCACCTCGGTTGCCACCGCGTCATCATGCTTGCCGTCATCTCGGCTGCTGAGCAGTACCACACGTCCCACGCAGCTGTCTGCTGCGCTGCTCGTACTAGTGGCGCCGGCTAGCGGCAGGTAGCTGCACAATTCCGGCAGAGCTGCGGGCTGCAGGCACGGGATGCTGATGGGACTCGAGCGCCTCGCTCTCGTAGCGTTGTCGTTTCTGCTGCCCAGTTCGTCTTCCATCATCGCTCATGACAGCTCTGACAAGTGCAGTAACGTGGGGAGAAACGTTAGGTGGGCAAAGCCCTCGTTGCGAATACGATTCCCGTCTTACTACGTATAAAGATGCCTCTGCAAATTTCATATCTGCAAGGAGGGCATGGGCGATCAGCTAGGATAGGAGAGGCTGCATTTGCTACAAAAGGCGGACACCTTCGTAACCTTAGTTGATATACAACATAGTTGCGTGCGCAGATATAACAACAATTGAATCACTGATAATCTTCTTGGTCGTTATGCTGAACAGTCTCTATAGCTGAATGTAATGTACTAGCCACATTATCACAATAATAGCTTGGTATGCTGTTTTACATTTTTGTATATGTTGTTTATGTCAATCTGATTTTATATAAAGATATGTAACATTTATATCCTGAAGGTCACACAACCACGGATAAAATGATCGAATTGTAAAGGCTTCACACATTCTTGCAGCTGTTTAGAGCTATAAACCGAGCATTTCCTTACCACCGCGCAGTGACTGCATTCCAGTTATACATCCA